CGGATCGGATCGGATATCGGTTTTTTTTAAATAGTATTTGAGATATGCTTTGTATTTAACGGATACTATATTTTAGTATTTATTTTGCTTCGAAATATTATAGATATTCGAATTTTTCGGTTCGGATCAAAATGAATAGCGAATCAAATATCATTTATCGGATTTTTTGCCGAACCCTAATGTGGACGCTTCAAATCCTCGAGATGCTTATTTGTGAGAGATATTTTATTTGGATTAAATATTTTATACTCCTTTTTAATAATTCTCTAGTGGGGTGTATAATTAGATTTTAAGATGAATTCTTTTTTTTTTATAATAAGATATATTTTGATCAAGAAAAATGAGAAAATTAGTAAAAAATACCCAATATTAAACTTTTTTTTTGCTCACACTTTTATAGTTCGCCCTAGAGATATCTTCTCTGACTCACTTCTCAAGGTAGTCGCTCAATGGTGATATGAATCACTTCCCAAGGTAGTCGCTCAATGGTCACTTCCCAAGGTAATCTCTCCGAGGACTTTCTGGTGACGGTTGCTGCCCTCTCCTCTTGATTTCAGGCGTGCTCCTTCAAACCTACTCTCACCGACATGCTTGTGTTATCAGGATCCGATGTTTGCTCCCCGCCTTCCTCCTCCGCCGCGACGACAAACCAGACAACTCGGCTCAGCTTTATCGCTTACCATCAATGGAAGACCCCCATGATGCTCTTTAACAACCTCCGGCCTCCGGATCCTCCAGATCTACCGGATTCGCCGGGCTCATCCTTTCCATCTTTACCATCGTCATTCTTTGCTATGATGGCTCCCCTCACCACATCCTTAGGCTCCCGGCAGCCGCATCATTCACCTCCTCCGCTCACCACCTTCTTCCATCCTGGAGACGGGCTCAAACCCGATTTGGCGAGTTTCCAGTGTATCATAGCCTTTCATCCATCTCTCCGGTTCAGCTATCGGATAAGACTGTCTCCTCCTGAGTCCGCCGTANCGCCGCCACTGTGTCGTTATGCATTCGGTGAGAAGGTTTATTGGGCCGTGCAACATATGTCAAGTGGGCCTCGTAGCCCCAACTCTTTCCCCACTTCAAATCCATCTCCCATAACCAAATCCTTGGAGGATTTCCTCAGTTTGTATACCGTGAGAGCTACGATC